TCTTACGACACTTTTTCGCCCGAATTCACCATGAAAAGTGGTGTTCGACAGGGTTACTCTATCTCTCCCTATTTAACTTTGTTAAAGATTTGATTATGGAAACAGCCCTATCCTCGTTCGAGGATAGAGGTATCGATTTACTCTCAGGTGGTAGACTGTCAGATTTCGAGTTTGCAGACATTGTACTGCTGAGCGAAGGTGCAAGCTTTTCTGGATGGCTTGAGTGCCAATGTAGCCATGTTTGGTATGCGTTTTGCACCCTCAAAATGTACAATGGATTAGGGTGGCTCGGCCCACAACCTCACTCTAACTGGTGAAACAGAGAAATCTCGCTCTTTCGGCGGCTATATATCTCACCTGGCGTACGCATCACAGACAGAGTGTCGGCACTCATACATAGGGCACAATTGGCATTTGTCAACTTGAGACATCTGTGGCGCCGACGTGACATCGGGCTGTCTGTGAATGGTCGGGTATATGCTACAGTAGTTCGGCTGGTGTTTCTGTACGGTACAGAAATTTGGCCATTACGGGAACAGAATTAAAATAGATTATCGGGGTTCGAACACTTCTGCCGACGCCGCATTGCACGAGCCTGGTGGTATCTGTGGCACCCCATGCCAGACCTCAGGAATAAGGTTTTGGGTTCCATTAATCGAGTTGAAGACTGTCATGCTTATGGGTTCGCCCAAGCTGTTGCTTATCACAGTGTGAGTAAACAGCCAGAACTGTCTGCGACAAATGGCATCGGAATTTATCGCCAATGCTACTTGTCACATAAAACCACCCTAACTGATGCCCAACTTAACAGACTGTAGATACTGTCAGTTCAATCCGATATCTTGCGAATTGCCAGATCCACTGTCAACCAACACTGTACCTCTTAGTAGTGAGAGGAAATCGTATGTGTAAAATATGGGATCTCAATTTCATAAGCAAATCTGTCGTTCAAAGGATGTTTATCAGCATCGTTGTCTAACAGGAGCTCCCACAAAATGTCTGACTGCAAATCCCAGAAGAAAGCAGGTCTCCACATTTAGTTATGTTCATTGTTTGCTCATCCGATTTGCCTTGCAGGTGAAATAATCTGTCTGGCATGTTGTTTGACGTAATAAAAATAAATGTGAACCAATGTATTTTACTTCCCTTTTTGGTTTGTTGAATATTCGAATGTACAATCGACTTTCAGGAAGGGAGTAGCGGTCATACAAAGGCTGCCTGGGCTATATAGAGATGGAGAAGATGGTCAGNGTGGTTCGAACCCGAGACTTCCGGGTCAATATTGTGATGAACTTAACTTCTTGACTTTCACCGCGGTGTTTTTTCGATCTTAATCATGGATACTTACACTTCATCTGTCAACTGTTGGTAAATAGGAACGTTTTCGTAGATGCTCATTTTATTAAGAGATCTAAAGTTGTTCCATTCCGCTACACCAAACCAACCTACATTTCTCCGAATCGCCCCTGCCACGTTTCTGTTTTGAGTGCTAATTGTAGTTGGTATGCTGCAGAGTTATCTCAACGTAACCAATCGCAAGATCTATACTGTGGTGGTTACCACTCACACTAGTGAGTAGCATGTTTGATACCCACATGAACAGACGGTTGGTGCATTCTAACCTCACCTAGGAGTTTATTAAAGAATTTTATATGGTTACTACAGAAGAAGTGAATAGATTGTCGAACTCTCTGACCACTGATCAAGAACCGTTCATCAACCTATTAACCCACTGTTGCGTGTGACATGTGCTATTCTGTGTTATCCGACTTACCCCCTATCCATTTTATTCTTCCAATAAACAACTCTTCTTAGCCCGCGCCTGTCTTGTGGAGTTATAACCCTAGTATATTTGGATGAGTTCCACGTTTTTATTCTGTGTTACCTGTGGACGAAAAAACGATTCACAAGAACAACAGCATCATCTGTTGACTGAGCTGTGGAAGTTGTTTATCGTTGCAGATGCCTAAGTCATCAGCCATACAGATATTGATAGACTGCCCGAAGTCTTCTCTATGGTAACCGACGCGCGTGTATAAGTTAGCATGCACGTTTAACAATTGATTGCCACTTTCTCAGAATCTGATGCTGGAAAGTTTCAGTTTTTACAACCACTAACTATGAGCCTCCGTGCGACGGTTTGGGTTATTGTCTTTTGGCTGCCCATATGGATGAAGCAGTAGGAGAAAGCCAGGTAAGTTCATAATAGAGTCGAAGAGAAAATGAAAGCTTTCAGTGCACTAAGGTTGAGGAGAAATTGATAATATCCACGAACGCTACTGTTTACAACATTCAGCCATATCACTCATTGTTTCTAACCACTAATTACAATGATCCTGAGAACTTAAATAAAGAAGCCAAAAACAGGTTTGCAAAAGATTGCACTCAGCATTGCTCGTCCGGTTGCTTCACCAGATTCAATCAGTGCTGCGTAAACGGCGTTGTTCAAACACCGACAGTCTATCTTTATCCAGTTTTCGTAATGGTCCATTTTCTGCACTTTATAGCAGAACTGCTGCAACATACACTGAATCCTTCATGGACAGACGGCTGTCACAATTTTTTCAAATGCCGATCGGGCCTTCCGTATGCAAACTGACCTTTCCTTCTGTAAAGTGTAGGTATATATTTCTCAATGCCAGAATTTTCTGGTTTCTGATTTTCGATGCCTTTTAACTGCGAACTCATCATTCCATTTTTAATGTTAGTTTCCATCGAGGATATCCTCCTGCGAATTCAGGATACAAAAACCGCACTGGATGTATGGCGAGCGATTTCTCACATTTCCTCAACGGAGCCGGAGACAGATGACTGCCAGTCCACAACACAGTCACAAATTCAATCCATCCTGCAAGATGTGGATAATCAATTAATACGACTTCTGCAAGCTGCTGAATCCACTCGGACGGTTGTACAATCCACCGCACACTGGCTCCGTATCACCTCATCCTCCTCCACTCTATCCATCCATACGGAATGGCTTGCACCTGTTATTCGTTTTGCCGCTGCATTTAAGGTGTGTTTATGTGTGCCTGTTTGTACTCTCTACGTGTGTACGCGCTTTCACATCTAAATCTCCAATACCAGTGTGTACTAAGCAACCCGCTAATTTGATCCAGCATCTCTTTTAAAAGGTTAAGAATTAAAATATAATAATATATATATATATTCAGCCCCTACCAAAAAGGATAAAAATGGTTATCGCATTGTTGTCAGATGTTGGTAAACCAAGTGTAGTCAATCACATTGCTTAACGAACTTTCGACCGACCGTTGCAAACATAAGTTGTTTAAAAAACGTTCCCCTTCCCATGTATCTGTCATATCGTTAGATGCAGATTTAGTTTATATTGCACAAACATGTACACAACCACATTTACGATATCGTCGTACCCTTTTAAGATCGATAGACATCTTTGTTCTGTATATTTCGTCCTTTATTTGTAGCTCTCATCGAATGACGTGGCACACTCCACGGACAACTCGATTTGTCCCTACACGTGTTCTTCATGTCGTCTCGATCATATCGAGCTTCCGTTCTGAAAATCTAAACAATTTTCAACAGCCGTTCGGATACACTTCATCATCCTTGCTTAAACTGAGATCTGAAATGACCGAACAGACACATACAGATAGGACTACGTAAACCAAGTTTCGCGTTCACTGACAGTACGGAAGCCATAGGCTGAAGTATGTTTGACCAGTCTTTGTTACAGGTTCAGTGTTTAGCGAACAAAACGATGCGATCATTTTTATTCTTGATGAACAATGCATTCTTAAACGCATTTTCGTCAATGGGTTAAAAATGATCGTTCATTAGGAGCTCCCGCGGACTCACCTAAAGCCTTACCCGACACGGCACTTGAGATATGCAAAACAATGATGCCGGAGATTTTCCTTATTCACAACGCAATCATAGTGCTATCTAATTTATTTTTCGGGCAGTTGCATCCAACCAACTGTATAAAAGGCCCTGTAGACTCAATCACTGCTTGGATTCAGTCGAGTAGATTGACTGAGAAATAGCACTACCATGGGACGCAAAATGTGGGCAAGTTATCATTTCATGCATCTTACTGGACGAATATGAAGTGGCTTTACTGCTGTTAGTGAATTTGTAGCCAACTGATCAATGGGAATCAAGTTGAATTTCATGTCTGAGTAAATGAGAGAATACTGATTTGATTTCACGATCGTGAAATTGCCGGGTACATGTGTATATACTTTATATTGAGAGCGTTTCGTCCTTCTTAATGGGTGCAAATATAGGACGATAGAAGGGAAACAGAGGTCAGCGCTAGTCTGTATAGAAGCTATTCAAACTGCGGGAAATATGCCCCCCCCCCATTTGATGTACTGTTATCCTCCGTTGTTGTGTCGCTAGTCTGTCACCGAACCTTGTCATCCGAGACGGTTCTCAGCCAAAATACAATTCGAGCGTTTATTGAAAGCGCCAGAAAACTTTGTTACATGATAGAAAAGTGTGCCATAATCATTGGGTTGCGTACAGACTAGATTTTCTCAAAATGGGAAATACGAAAGCACTGAAAGAGTGAGTGAACCAATCAGATTAGTGTTCTGCCCGTTACCTTGGTTTTCACCAGTCTGGCAACTTTCGGCGACAGCGATTAGTCCTAATCCCCTTTCCGTCGATTCCGCAGGAATTTTCGAGAAAAATCAAGTTTTCTCCTGCGTATGTGATCCATCAACAAACGCTTTTGTATGACCCAAGGGACAGGATAAATTTTGAAGGGTCATACATACCCAACTCCGGAGTGAACAGACCAATTGATTGATGCACTAGTAGCTGTGACTAGCAAATGATTTGTATTCTGACTGATTCTCTCACCTTTCCCGACAGAAGTGTGCAAGTGATGTGGAAAGAAAACGTCGTAATGGCGTGGATACTGCACCTGGTTCAACTCCTTCTCATCGACATGAACACAGACGCGGAAAGAATGAAAAAGTAAGCTATCCTTGGCTGTTCATTCAATTCTTTTCATCTTTATGCAATGGTGTAAATTCGTATATGCAGGTGTTCAAAACAACCGTATTGAATTCATGGTACTCTCTGAGATACGATACCCTTCAAGTATGCGTAAATTTGCACAATCGCCCTACATTTGTGACCAGGAGTTAAACATCCTTTGTTAAAAGTATGAATATTTCAAAAACGAACGCTGAGAGAAGAACATCGTTTAATTACATCGAATGATTTTTGTTCCATACCAATTAAAACTCTGCCTCTTCCCATACTAACTGTTTACCGTCCATTAATCCTCTGAGCCATCGGTTTTCACGGCATACAACAGGCTTTTGTATTACTCTGTTCCTTACTGCCAGACACACCAGTCGCATAACGATGACAAACCGGAGCATCGCCGACGCAAACATCGCACTAGACAACTGGATTCCGACGGAATCATGGATGATATACTAGCCGGTAAGTGTGAACTATTTTTTTCTCTCTTATCACTCCATCTATTTTTGTAGGCCTTACCTACCAGCCCTTGCGAACGGATATTCACACCAAACGAAAGGAGTCCCTTGGGAGTAAAGCTTCGAATTGATATTCAACTGCCACTTGTTTCACAACGAAGGTCACGGGGCCAATCGGTTCCACACAATTTCTGTTCTTCCTAACGTTTCGTTATGCACTACACGTTTCAGCAGCAAACGTGTTCATCGGTCTACCCCTGCACTCCCATGGGTTGACCCCGGAGTGTATGGGCGTGCATTCGCAGGCCGACCAACTCGACTATCGAAACATTCATTCCCCTTTCCACAAATCCACATTGGACGAAACGCTACTACCTAACCGCTCAGTTTTGAATTCGTTCATGGTTCATGCTTTTTCATTCCCTCTCTCTATCTGTTTCGCTGACTTGGAAATCGAGCTTTTCTTGGACCGCATTGACTAC